GGTGAGTTTGGAGCCAATAAATGATCAATTCTTAGAGATCCAATGCCAGGCCAGGCCATAGTATCTGGAGTGATTGGGGTGGTGCTTGCTTTTAGGGGGACCCCAATTTCATGATGGTTTGGTCCGCTGAACTACCATTTCGACCCATGTTTGATCCATCAACAAGTTGGGGTCCATTGACCATTCATGGATTTGATACAGTTTTGTTGGTGAAATCACCATTGTACAATATTTTATAACATGTTATATAATGTATTATAGTAATGTTACAACATTAACATGTGGTGATTTTCATATACCATAATAATCCATAATATACCATATGGTGATTAATACATCCCTACCCTCTTAAAAATGGATATGAATTTCCCTCTGGAGGGGTAGGGATATTAATACTAACATATGTTAACATGTGTTAACATATGTTAATATACCATATGGTGATTAATACTTATTAATACTAACATATGCTAACATATGCTAACATATGCTAACATATGTTAATATACCATATGGTGATTAATACTTATTAATACTAACATATGCTAACATATGCTAACATATGTTAATATACCATATGGTGATTAATACTTATTAATACTAACATATGCTAACATATGCTAACATATGTTAATATACCATATGGTGATTAATACTTATTAATACTAACATATGCTAACATATGCTAACATATGTTAATATACCATATGGTGATTAATACTTATTAATACTAACATATGCTAACATATGCTAACATATGTTAATATACCATATGGTGATTAATACTTATTAATACTAACATATGCTAACATATGCTAACATATGTTAATATACCATATGGTGATTAATACTTATTAATACTAACATATGCTAACATATGCTAACATATGTTAATATACCATATGGTGATTAATACTTATTAATACTAACATATATATCTGTGTATATTAGTTAAATATACCATATCTATAGCCAACCACCAAAACCCCATTTTTGGGTCGGTTGAATCCCACGATTTCCCAGGCCACCGGCGGCCGGGCGCACCTGGTGGTCGCGGACCTGGCCAAGGGGCAGAGGCAATCGCTGCACATCGCCTGCAACGTCCTGGCGAAACAAGGGCGGATGGTGCAGTCCAAGAGCGTCAAGGAAGAGGAGCGATGATAAGGGGAAAATCTAATATAGTAACTGATATAGTAGCTATATACAATCATATTATAGATATTCTATAGTTACAATATCTATTATCAATAGCGAATATATGATAGAAGTGAGGATGATTTTTCTATAGGTAGTGAAATGGATAGCAATATGTATATTAAGAAAAAATAAGTCAGAAACACTGAAGTGGGGATTCCAATGAGGCATGGAGATTTGTCGGGAAGTGGTGATGTAAGCAATATACATCAGGATGGTGATGTAACCGGCTCAAATTGGGGTGCCAGTCATGTAAACAGCATGGAGATATCCTGCTTAAGCGCTTCGACCAGTTTGAAATGCATGTTAATTCATCACTAAACATTGGGAAGTTGCCCAGCAAAAAACGATGGTTGACCCAGCAAAAAGTAGATTTGACCACAAGCCGCAAGGATTTGATCAGCAAAATGGGGATAACCAGATACAGCACGGGGAATGACCCAGCAACTGCGCAAATTTTGCCCAACAGCGAGTGTGATTTACCCAGCAAACATCCGGAATCGCTCAGTAAACAGGGGATTTCATCCAGCAAACGCAAATTTATACTCTGCAAACATGGGGATATACCTAGCAAGAACTAAGAACATACAAACAATTGATTTCCAGTTTGACTAGAAAATCATGTGCGACATCATCAGCCATGGTGTGGACATTTGGCCTATATGAACCAACAATATTGGCAGTTTGACTGATGGTGTCATGTCCACTTCTTGCATGTCCCATCTTGTTAGATGAGGATAGCCAGGATAGTTTCCATCTCAAAATGAGGTTTTACGCGACAAATAACTGGATTTAGCCAAGAAAAATTAGGAACAGAAAGAGCCTAAATGGGCGGGTTGCAACCAATACTGCTGAGGACAGGATATATGATGGTGCTTTCAGTTACATGATGTTCCATGATGTTCACGGATTTTCCGTGTCTTCATGTTGTTCTCCAAAATTGGGATGTTGAATCCGGAGTGACCAACGATGACCAACGAGTGTGAGGACTTTGAGGTCCCGAGTAGCCACCATAGCCACATCCCGCCGGTCCTGCAGGATGGCCATGAAGTGAATCTTATACACCTCTGGATGGAGGTCCCAGATGGCAATGCGGGCAGTGTGGAGGATGTGGAGGATGTGGAGGAGGAGGTTTGTAACTGCTGGGTGATTTAAGCTGCCTGCTTTTTTTTTGTCAGTTGTATGAGTACAAGGCATGTTTTCTTTGTTTTGGATCTGTCAAACTTCAGCACTCCCCAACTGGAGCTAGCTCAACATCCCGTGTTCATCTCTTCTATTCATTTTGGAGTAACTATGGGTAAGTTTATTAAACAAACCGGCTTCATCCATTACCCCCATGAGGTATGCGCTTGGCCGGGCTGGCAGACCTCCAAGGCCCTGAAGCCTCCACCCGCTGCGTCATCGATAGCCTGATCTTCCCACTCTGCCAGGAGTTGGAGCTGGGCATCACTATGGAGGAGAGTTGTAGAGCTGGCAATTTTCCCATCAGCATTTGTGACTGGATCGCTTTGGAAAGGGAGTGTCTATCACTATACATATAGTATAAATATATGTATAATATGTATATATATACATGTATATTTGCAGGGGTGTGGGATTTAATTTTGATGGTCAGAAGGTGGCCTGGTTTTTTTGGGTAGAGGATGTTTCTTTTCCAATTCTCAGGGGTCACGGTTAAAATGGATGCCGTGTTCAAGTCATAAGGTTGCCACCGCGTGTTGTGGGATGAGTCTGTGGAAATCCCTGGGAGGTGACTACATCCTGCGGTCTGACGAGGTGTTAGCAGTGATCGAAGCCAAGAGATGTAGCCCCAACTGGATCTGGACCTTGTCGCAGGGAGTTGCTCAGTGCATCTGGCAGCTGGCTATTCTCCGAGAATCACAGCCCCTCGGGTGAAAGGTGGAAGGACCTGAGGACCTGAGGATCTGGGCGACTTGGGAAACCTCTCTGGGCTTGGGGCATACTCAAGCAATACTATCCTTGAAAGTTCGTGCTCGGTGATTGCTTGCTTTCGTTGATATCCTTCCAATCCCGAAACTGCGATTATATGCCGAGGTGTCGTTTGTTCTTCACAAGGGTACCACAGGTCTTACCATGTCTTACCCACAGCCAGCTACAGTAACCTCCTGAAACCAAACATCGAACCCAAAAAAGTGTTTTGAATATGATGTTCATTGATTTCCTATCAGAATATAATAGAATATAGCTACGTTCTGCCACCTTTGGGTTCCCATCTTGTTTCTGGCCCCGTTATCCACATGCTCAATCCGAGATGCAGCCCCAGGCCGTCGAAGCCTTGCCTGGGACTGGTAACGGATGGTCGGCGATGGGTTTGTCTACAGCTGCAACAGCAATTGGCCATTTCATCAGCGCTTGACATCTCGAGGAAAGAGACTTGGACAGAGTGATCCCATGGTTGATCCAATGGACCCTTGGGAGATGGATTAAAGATGATTAAAGTATATTAAAGTAATTATTTCCAACAGTGTGGGGGATACCCACAATTCCCAGGTGATGGTCAGGATTGTTAGGGACAACCGATAGTTTGGGTATCTCCGATTTTTGGAAAGCAACATCAACTCGCCGAAACTCGCCGAGCCTCCTCACCTTCTTTGTCCATCCCAATATTCCCATAGGGGGACTGAGGGGCCGCGACGCTAGGCTTTTGTGAAACGCACCTAGAAGGCATCCTAATTTCAGGGTGCCATGACCATACCTCAGATAATTTTAGATCATCTCAGATACATATGATACATACAATCCTTGCAAGTTTACGGGCGCCAACCATCTGAATTTATGGATGTGGAGAATCCCCAAGTTGGGTCATCAATGAAAGGATGTATCACCTGAACTCTCCGCCAGACTTTCATCCGTTGCCTTCACTGCTTCACCGGTGATTGTTTCCTGGATTCTTATTAAATTAACATGGCCGGTTTCCGGCCTAGACTATATGGGGTCGGCATGAGTCGGCTACCCGGTCGGATAAAGGTTATACCGTTATACCTGGGAAGAACACTGACTTGGAGCATCACCAATGGGTAAAATGATGCAATGCACCCATCGAGGGCTGCAAAGGGCGGGTGATGTTTTTTTCTGAGGAGCACTTTTGGATTTTGTCGGTGACTCAGAGGGGCCGGCCGCTGACAGGAAATGATGAATGACTTGGAAGATTTGGATGGATTCTAACTCAAACCGTTGAAAGATTTGGAGAGACGTCCGTTCAACTAGGCAAACGACGACTGGCGCAATATCATCTTACAACCATCTTGTAAATACATATATATACATATGTATATATACACTATATATCATCTATGTATATACATATAATATATATATATTATAGACTATAGATATAATGTAAAGTAGATTTAACTGGCATCACAGCATCTTAGTGGCTCTCAGGTTGAACTTTTTGCTACAACACTTGGAATCCAAGTGCAAGTAGCAGAGCAATTCAATCGGCGAAGATTGTTCAGTTGCAAACTTCGTTCCTGGGGATTCAGATGTAATCCAAAGTTGGTTGCATCTGGCGAGCGTTTCGCATCAATGGTTGAGAAAAGCAGCAGCTACTGGCAGCTGAGCAGTGGGTGTGTAGTCGGGATAGTACCATCATACAACATCATACAACCCATTGAATGTATTGAATTGGGATGATGCATATTGTGATCTCCAACAAGCGGCTTCTTTCACTGGTAACCCCTCACTTGGATGTGGATTGATCTTGGCGCATCTTGGCACCTTAAATTCGTGGAATTCGATTGGGTACTTGACGACATGACCGCACTTGAACTGGGCGTCGTTAGGCGAATGCTGGCAGAGGATTCAGCCTGGAGTGGTCGGTACTTGGCCTCTGAGACCAGTGGCAGCTTTAATGCCTGGCATCTCAGGGGTTGAATTCCGGTGGTTGGGGCATCCATAGTGACGTGTTTGCAGAGCGGAAAAAGGCACTGAATTTGGTGTTGAAGCCCCAACAATCCTCAGCAGGTCAGGTTTCCAATGTTTTACAGCAATTTGCTAATTAGTTCCCTCAACATGACCCTGCTGTTCTTGCCTCAAGAAGGAACTCCGCGAATCAATAATCAATGCCCAGGGCTGGAACAGAAAACCCCGTGATCCCCGTGGCCGCAGCAGCACACCGCAGTGAGAATTCTTCCCAAACATTTCCCCTTTTCGCGGCTAAAATGATAACTCAGGAAAAAGCCTGGTTCAGGAAACGGCAATCTTGTCTTGTTGGATTGTTGACCGTCATATGAAGGGATTGGCATCCATGGATCAATAAGATTCATAATTACTTACTCTGAATTCTTCATTGGTGAAACATTAATGTCCATGGGCCAAAGAGAAACATACCTGTCAGTAGTTCGCTCAGTTTTGAGTCACTGATGTGCAACCTGCTAACCCACAGCTTTTGGATGCCTTTGGTAATTCTCTACTAGTAAACATCCCATACACGCGCAGTTCTGAACTCGTACCAATCTAGTCCCAGCACAATAGATGCAGAATGATGCAGACGTAGGGTAGAGATGGATAGATTGATAGATAGATAGATAGATCGACCGATCGATTGATTGATTGATTGCTTGCTTGATTGACTGACTGATTGATTGATAGAAATATGATATGATACTGTAGAATAGTAACACAGTAACACCTTGTAATACCTTGTATTATGGGCATTGCCGCCATTGCCCAAGACGGACTTCCTCCAATCCCCAGGATTGGACCAGCAATGCGGAGTTTGTGGCCACCGGCTTCAGTGGCCCATCCCTTCCCTCGTGGCTCGGTTGGTGTGGGATCTCCGGAAGAAATGGGTGAAACTGTCGCAGAAAAGATGGGAAGATATAAGAAAGTACTCCAATTACTCAAAACATCATCTGTCCATTCTTTGGTACCCAGTTCCGACCGCACCTATCTTTGGGGTAGTGTGTTAGTGTGTTGGCGACTACTGGGTAACGCGTGGGGACCTTGGGGTCCCCCAAAATGTGTTCTTTTTCCGCGTACCGCCAAGGAGTAGTTTAACTTCGAGCCAGGTGAAATGACTCCAGCGGACCAAATTTAAGTCTTCATTCTGGCCCGTGAAAAACTCATGGGTCCCTACCAAAGGACCCTCTCAAAGTGGAGAAGCGATTGTAGGAAGTAGCATACTCACGACAATATGTTTCAAGCTCAATCAAGACCCGGTGGCTCGCAATTGTCATTGACCATCCATACACACGCATGGATTGTCTTATTTATGCGAAATTAGGCCTTCACAGTTTGATGGTGTATGTAGTATAGTATAGTCTAGTATAGTCTAGTCTAGTGTTAGTGTTAGTATTAGTATTAGTATTAGTATTAGTATTAGTATTAGTATTAGTATTAGTACAGTTGATACATGATCAACCATCAACTATACTATACTATACTATACTATACTATATTATGATACCCTGTTCACCAGAGCCCAAAAGTCTTCGCCCAGCCAGCTGCCCAAAACCGCTCCCAGGTCCTCCCAGGCGAACCCCACGGAACTGCGTGCGGTGACGTTGGACAGCCGGGGGACTGAGGATGACTATATCATTAAGATATGTTACTTATATAATATATATCATTTATTATATCATCGAATATGACTATATCATTAAATGATCTTCGAATTCAGAAATAAGATGAATTCGGCCAATCAACGGCATAATACGCTGATCATTTGCTCCAAAAATGGGTCGGAACCTCATGTGAGCCACGTTCTAGACCTGGACCCGTGTGTTCATGTTTAGGAAGGGGGCCCTGTAAGGTTGTGGCGTAAGCAAGATTTATGGTGGGCGTAAGCCAGCGTAAGCTCCGCGTAAGGCGTAAGGCATAGAACGCAAAACCTGTGCGCTCGTAAACAAAACGTAAACATGTAAGCAATGGCGCAAGCATTTCCTTACTTGGTGCTAGGATGTGCTAAAATACAAGACATTTAGAACATGACTCATATATACTCATATCATATGTCAGGGAATTATCATCAAGATGACCTGAAGTTTGCTCAAGCGTTTTAGATAGATGGTCTATAGATGGTCTATAGATTATTTGAAAATAATTAATCAACATAACATGGAATGACATCTGAGGTTTGGACGACTTTGTGGAGGCCGCTACAGCCTTCTGGCTGCACACCGGTGTTCGAGAACAGGTGCGCCATACCGCAGCTGTCGCAAGGGTGGGTATGGCCTACCAAAATCACTGAGAAATCTGATAATCTGAGGAAGGTTGATATTTTCAGCATTTTTCAGGTGCTTCTTTGATTGCTTTGTTTCTATCAAGAGTCTGTGAGAACAGTTTTACGTGGTCCCGAAGGGTTTTATACAGTGACTTTCAACCATCGGACCATCGATTATAGAAACTCAAGGTTTAACCTAAGGTTTGCTTTACGTGTGAACTTTGGAACCCTGAGAAATAGTCTTCACCAATTTCTATTGTTTGATTCATTAATGTTCATTCCAACATTCTCACTATTCTGAAATTTCTGACCATTCCCACTACTCGCCAGATTCGATCTTTGAGACGTGGCTTACATGACGTCTTGGGGGCTCGTGCTGGAGCCCTTTGGTTGTTTTCACCCTTAGAGCCTGGCAGCCCAGCTAGAAAGGGTTCAAACTTCAGACCTGGAACATGTGTCTCTTGAGGGTTGACGGTGTTTGGAACGTTCCAAAAGCTCTGTTCTTGTTGGAAGGTTTTATCACATTTTATCACACATCATACTATCTTTTTCCAACCTTTCAACGTGTACTGCATATGAATGTGTCATATGATGTATATATGTCAACTATATGTCAACATGTTTTGACTTGTTTTCCATGTTTAAGTATGTTTAAGCAATATTTAATATGTGATGCTTGGGCCTTGCACTCCCTTGTTTGTCCACCACCTCGAGGCTGCGAGAACTGTTTTGCGGCGAGGAGTCCGTCTCTTGGAGCAGCCAGGACAGGGCGCCTTCCAGGGCGCCTTTGAGCCATTGACAATACCATTGTTGGCTGGTGATATCTGGTGATCATAGAGGATTCTGATGGATTCTGGGGTATTTTGTTGGTAGTTCAACGAATTCACCATTGACATGCGATTGTGTTATTGGGTATTTTCATTGGTTGGTGATCATGGTGGGTTTTACCACCTGGTTTGATATAGAACTATATATGTGTGTGAGGACCCGAAATAGGAATTCGGAATACCTCTATAAACCCACAAAAGGATTGTGATGGGACAAGGGATGGTAAGGGTAGTATATGCGTTTTTCATGGCTTAATTGAGCTCTCCAGTGTTGATCATTGATGAAATTTAGGATCAACAGGTGTGTGTTTCTCAAGATTGGTATACCAAAAAAAACATTGGTTTCCCTGCAAAAAGCGACCAAGAAGTTGAATGATTTGGGGTCCCCCATGCTATCGTCAACAAATCTGGATTCGGAGCTTTATTTACGTTTACTTTTTGAGTGTGATGGTTTACTTACTCAAACTGATGTGGGGTTCCGTTTGATCAAGACTACTACTCGGCATGATTCAAACATGTTCTTGTTGCCACACCCGAAACTGGGTATGGATCAAACTAGTTGAGCCCAGAAAATGTGCCAAATGTGGGTCCAGTGAGTCTAGTGGTATCCTAATTTGCAATGGGAATCCCACTAGCAGCAGAACTATTAACAGTTGCCAGGCTTCACCAGGAGTTGATTGGGGTCATGTCCCATATCCTCTCCATTTCCAACTAGAATGGGCTCGTTGTTGGTTTCAAATATGCAAAAGCCGAAGAGGTGTCAGATGTACCTATATAATCCTATATATACCTTGGATTCAATGTCTGCAACATTGGGAGCAGGACTTGTATGACCACTTGCATGCTGCCGGTGGTTTCTCTCGTGATGACGATGTCATGATCTGGCTCCGAGACGAACTTCTCGAAATGTCACAGGCTGCGGTGATTGTCTGAAAATCAGGGAGACTCCGACAAATCCTGGAAAGTCACAAGACAGGTCAGTGTAATTTTACAGGAAAGCAACAAGTTGGCAGTCCAGCAAGTCGTAAGTGGATCATGGCCATTTTTCCATGTTTTGCCCCTTCAGCAAGGTCCTGGAACACTGTGTTCATTGACCCTGGAAGAATATCATGCACTATCTGGAGGGACCGGAGGGATGGTAGTACAAGGATCTTACCGAGTCTTACCTCCTCATTCTTTGCCTCCAAGTTTTTGCCAACTAGTGCTTCATGAAATGATTGGTGGAGGGTGAGACAAGACTTTGGTGCATCTCGGATCCATCTCGATTCATACGAATAGTTGATCTCTTCATGGTTGCTTCATTCTTTGTTTCTATGCCGAAACAAAGAAGACTGTGTCCACAGCAGTTGTTCTGGGAAAAGAAGTTCCACAGAGCTCCGGACTCGTGGCACTTCCAGTTGAACCTCCGCAGGGACTGCGCGCGCGATTCCTGGACTTTGCAACTTCGTGCCCAAGACTGCCACCAGGAGGCGATGCCCCGGCCACTCAGACTGTGGGTCATGGATGAATGAAATTGGATGAGAATTTGACACGTATGTGCACATATATTATTGTAGAGCTTCGCACACCGGCGACGCCGGTAGGGGTCGGGGGAGGGAAAGAGAGAGGGGGATGTCATCTGAACTTGCGAACATGACATGCTGAGGGTCGGCGGCCTATCTTGGGGCTATGTTGGCCCATCTTGGGGCTATGTTAGCCCATCTTGAGGCTATGTTGGCCTATGCCTAGTGTTGTAATTTACAGCATTTTGCGCTGTGAGATGGCAAGAACCCGTGTAAATACAACAGTTTTAGTCCCCGAAAGTGGCTAAAACACTCTTATTTACAGAGTTTCGTTCACATCACGATCTTCGATTTTTTGAAAAACGTGTAAATACCAGCGTTTGTTGCATGCAGCAAGACAAAAAATCGGTTCAAAAAGAGCAAAAAATGCTGTAATTTACAGGGGAGTGGCCCCGTCACAAGCAAAAAACTGCGTAAATACCAGCGTTTCGGCGTCCAAAAGTTGCCAAAACACCGCTATTTACAGTGTTTCGTGCCTTCCACGTTTGCTTGAAATTGCAGAAACATTGTAAATACCAGCATTTTTTGCGATCAACCCGCCAAAAATGCTGTAATTTACAATGTTTTTTTGCTTGGCTTTCAAAAACACTGGTATTTGCAGTGTTTTGTGCATCTCGGGTCCAAAAAGTACTGGTATTTACAGCATTTTCTGCGTTTTTGCATGGCTCCCGCCAACGACGTTAAAACGCAAAAATGTTGTAATTTACAGCATTTTGTGACTTCCGAAAAGCGAAAAATCGTCCGAAAAATGTGTCAAAACGGTACTTTTTTCCGATTTTTGGGACCTCCAAAACGCATCTTCAAATTTTACCCTCTTTTTGTCCACCCCAGACCCCGAAAAACGTGAAAACCCCACCAGGCTAAAGGATTTTTGGGGAGGGTCGGCGGCAGGGGCGCGCCCCCGGGTAGCTAAAGCTATGCTTAGCTTCCCCACACTACACGGCGAGGCGTCGCCGGATTTAAGGGCTGCCGCCCCTGCCGCCGACCCCGGAAGTTTAAGACTCTCTAAGTTTCATGTGTACTCATGCCCTTTTTGCTAAAAATCTGTTACTACGTCAATTGCTTCCGGACATGTCAACCACCGACGCGTGTGTGGGAGACAATTTCGCGTGCAGGATGGCATTCTTCGGCCGACGCTGCCGACAACGCACTTTTCGCACACATGCCCTACTTGTGGAACCTGCGTCCAGAGCACCAAAGAATTTGGGCGAATCCAATGCAAACACAAACAATCTAATGGCCGCGTGTGCTCCCGAACGCAATGGCATGCAAAGTAACGACAAACGACCAGTTCCAGCTGTCTTGTCGGCTTCAAATCCCAGCATAACTTTCTCCTGCCGCTGCTGCCGCGGATGCTGCCGCAGAGCTTCTAATTTACTGGTGTTACTCGTCCTTCTGCTGGCAGTCAAATAAGTTTGAATTTGTGGCCTCCGGCGGCTCGGAAGAAAACAGCTTCGAAAAAAGTACCTCTCGGCAACAAAACACTATGGCTCTGAATGACGAGCTAGTTCCAAAACCACGCCAAAAATTCTAGACAAACAGCCTTGTTCGAGAGATTCTGTCGCCTGCAGCTGCTCGCAGGACTGGTGGCGGCTGCTGCTGCTGCGGATGCCGGTCAACCAGCTTCGAAAAAAGCAGTTCCCGGCAACAAAACACTATGGCTCTGAAAGACGAGCAAGTTCCAGAACCACGCCAAAAAACTCCCTAACCGGTCGTCTGAAATTCTATAGAAAAACAGCATTTGTCGAGAGATTCTGTTGCCTGCAGCTACTCGCAGGAAAATAGCTTCGAAAAAAGCACCTGCCGGCAGCTCCCGGCAGCAAAAAACCATGGCTCTAAAGGACGAGCAAGTTTTAGAACCACGCTAAAAAACTGCCTAACGTGTCGTCTGAAATCCTGGAAAAACAGCTTTTTTCGAGAGAGTCTGTCGCCTGCAGCTGCTCGCAGGTGGCGGCTGCTGCTGCTGATGCCGGTACAATAGCTTCGAAAAAAGCAGCTCCCGGCAGCAAAACACCATGGCTCCGAAGGACGAGCAAGTTCCAGAACCACGCCAAAAAACCCCCCAAACGTGTCGTCTGAAATGCTAGAAAAAATGTGCTAGAAAAACAGCAAAAAAACAGCATAGAAACAGCATAGAAAAACAGCATTTGTCGATTGTCGAGAGATTCTGTCGCCTACGGCTGCTCGCACGACTGGTGGCGGCGGCTGCTGCTGCTGCTGATGCCAGTAAACCAGCTTCGAAAAAAGCAGCTCCCGGCAGCAAAACACCATGGCTCTGAAGGACGAGCAAGGTCCAGAACCACGCCAAAAAACTCCCTAACGTGTCGTCTGAAATCCTAGAAAAACAGCACATTGTCGAGAGATTGTCGAGAGATTCTGTTGCCTGCGGCTGCTCGCAGAACTGGTGGCGGCGGCTGCTGCTGCAAATGCCGGTAAAACAGCTTCGAAAAAAGTAGCTCCCGGCAGCAAAACACCATGGCTCTGAAGGACGAGCAAGGTCCAGAAGCACGCGAAAAAACTCCCTAACATGTCGTCTGAAATCCTAGAAAAAAAGCATTTGTCGAGAGATTCGGTTGCCTGCAGCTGCTCGCGGGAAAACAGCTTCGAACAAAGCATCTCCCGGCAGTAAAACACCATGGCTTTGAAGAAGATTCTGTCGCTTGCAGCTGCTCGCAGGACTGGTGGCGACGGTTGCTGCTGCTGATGCCGGTAAAACAGCTTCGAAAAAAGCAGCCCCCGGCAGCAAAACACCATGGCTCTGAAGGACGAGCAAGGTCGAAAGATTCTGTTACCTGCGGCTGCTCGCAGAACTGGTGGCGGCGGCTGCTGCTGCTGATGCCGGTAAAACAGCTTCGAAAAAAGCAGCTCCCGGCAGCAAAACACCATGGCTCGGAAGGACGAGCAAGGTCCAAAACCACGCGAAAAAACTCCCTAACGTGTCGTCTGGAAATCTAGAAAAATCTAGAAAAACAGCATTTGTCGAGAGATTCTGTTGCCTGCGGCTGCTGCTGCTGATGCCGGTAAAACAGCTTCGAAAAAAGCAGCCCCCGGCAGCAAAACACCATGGCTCTGAAGGACGAGCAAGGTCGAAAGATTCTGTTGCCTGCGGCTGCTCGCAGAACTGGTGGCGGCGGCTGCTGCTGCTGATGCCGGTAAAACAGCTTCGAAAAAAGCAGCTCCCGGCAGCAAAACACCATGGCTCGGAAGGACGAGCAAGGTCCAAAACCACGCGAAAAAACTCCCTAACGTGTCGTCTGGAAATCTAGAAAAACAGCATTTGTCGACAGATTCTGTTGCCTGCGGCTGCTCGCAGAACTGGTGGCGGCGGCTGCTGCTGCTGATGCCGGTAAAACAGCTTCGAAAAAAGCAGCTCCCGGCAGCAAAACACCATGGCTCTGAAGGACGAGCAAGGTCCAAAACCACGCGAAAAAACTCCCTAACGTGTCGTCTGAAATCCTAGAAAAAAAGCATTTGTCGATTGTCGAGAGAGATTGTCGAGAGAGAGATTGTCGAGAGATTCTGTCGCCTGCGGCTGCTCGCAGGACTGGTGGCGGCGGCTGCTGCTGCTGATGCCGGTCAAACAGCTTCGAAAAAAGCAGCTCCCGGCAGCAAAACACCATGGCTCTGATGGACGAGCAAGGTCTAGAACCACGCCAAAAAACTCCCTAACGTGTCGTTCCAAAACCACGCGAACAAAGTCCCTAACGTCACTTCTGACATCCTAGAAAAACAGTCTTTTGCGAGAGATTCTGTCGCCTGCAGCTGCTCGTAAAAGGTAGCTCCCGGCAGCAAAACACCATAAGGGACCTCCCGGATGGGAAAACTGCTGTTGCTCTTTGTGCCAGATACTCTTCTTCCCTTACGCGCTCCCCCTTGCGTCGGCCGGGGTCGGCGGATATAGTTAAGATATATACAATATATATATATATATACAATATATGATTATAATATCTATGTATATCACATTATATAAGATTTTCATTCACATGTGATCACACATTCTCTATGTGCATACTGCACATCCATTTCGACATCGAATTAACATGCATCTCATGGAAGTATTTCATTCATGATTCCCTCGCTCCCGCGAGAGATTCCTCACTGTGCCAGGCTTAGCCAGTCTGAAATTGACGGCTTCTCCCGGTGCAGGCCGGCAGTGGACTTACAGCCATGCTTCCCATGAGGTGTTTTTTACCACCAGGTTGTCATAGTTCAAGGATTTTACATCATTTCTGTGATCCATCAAGTAATTACAGTGGATGTTTCGTGGTGGTTGCCCTGCCAAAGTCCCCAGGATCAAAGCCGTTGAAGCATGTATGATCCAACCCCCTGCTGGCCGAGGACGTTTCCCTCGCTCGCGCGCCTGCGCGAACCAGCTGTATTTGCCCAAGTATGAGACTCGAGAGGAGCCGACTGCGGTGGGCAATGGGGTTGCCATCCCAAGTGCGCTGCCAAAGAATAGAAATCTGAGGTGCTCTGGCTGGTTGGCCTCACTGGTTCATTGGATAGTTCCTTTTGAATAGAGAGAGTACAGGCCACAATTCCTTCGTACCCATGGTATCCATGGTCATTTCAGGCTGTATTTCATGTCAATTCCAAACTGGCAGAAGCTGCAGGAGCTCCATGAAAAGCTGACAGAAGCCTTGTTGGCTTGTGAGGGCCACCATGATGCCGATCATTAAGCGGCGACGGAGCTGCGTCTCTGAAGATACTACGTATCCACATGTCAATGTAAACAATGTAGGCGTATATGTGCATATGTGACTGTGTATTGTGCGTGTACATCTACATAATTATACATGTACATATAGCCTACATATACACATACATATACATATGTACATACTTTGGCATGCACTGTATTAGTACAATTGTAATATATAATAATATATATATATATGTATAATACTTGTAGATATATGTAAATTGGTATCATGAATATACGCACATGTGCGGATGGTTTGAGGGCACGTATTGATCCACGACATCATGTGACTACAATCGCATGAACAGAGTGCAGCATGTTGAAATGATGAGACATATGAGACATGTTCGGAAGTTGCAGCTACAACCAGCTGGTTGAGCTTGTCCATTTTTGGAGACGGTCACTGGTCGCAGCGATGCCAAGTTGGCCAAGGGCTGAGAACATCTTCATACATCTTCGAAATGTCAGTCATGATGGAGGAGTTGTTGTTCAACTATTCACACTGTGAGATGTTAAGTATAATTAGCATGGTATGTTAAATGCCAAATAATCTGATCCAAGATTGTTGAATTATTCAACTATTCAAATGGATATTAAGTGCTGAGTGCTGTTTGATTTGATATTGGAGCTGAAGCTTATTTGAGGTAGCCGAACCTGGCATCTCAAAACTCAATGAATTTGCTGATAGATAATCCCAAGGTGCATTTACTAAAAACCAACAAAATAGTCAAAAAACAAAACATACAATAAATAGAATATAAAATATGTACCTTATAAGCAGAAGAAATGGACATAATATTAACGATTGAACATATTGCAGGTAATTTCTTGAAAGAAGAAAGATGCAAAATGTTAAGATGCTAAGATGAAAGTTGAAGAAAAATATTGAAGCAGTTTTATTGATATAGAAGGAAAGTAAGAATATAAGTATGCGAGGGATAGGTTGTATGAAGATGACAGGGTGCTGGAAAGAGAATCATGGAGAAGATATAGGATACAAAGATATAATGCATATATCTTTGCATCCAGATTCCCTTTTCATCAGACACTTTTATATACAAATGCATTTACACACATATTTTGCATTCAAACCTTTTTGTACAAAGACAACACAGACACTTTTGCCTACAAACCCTTTTTATATCCACAGACGCCTTTGCACACAAACGCATTTACAGTATACAGAAATATGTTTTTCCACACGCGCCGCTTTTACGTACAGATGCTTTTACACGCAAAGACTATTGCACACAGAAACTTTTATACACAAATCCAATACTCGCACTGTTATACACAGGCGCCTTTACACACAGACGCTCTTACGCACAGACGTTTTCTCAAACAGAGGCTCTTGCATACAGAAGCTTTTACCCACAAAGGCAATCAAACATAGATCATAGATGCTTGTGCAGAAAGATACCTTTGCAGACAGAAGCTTTTACAAACAGACGCATTTACACAAAGATATTTTTACGCACAGTGCTTTTATACACAGATGCTTTTACAACACACAGGGGCGTTGACGTCAAATGCTTTTACACGCCTCAGCATAATCACACATTTTCATAAGTTTTCTGCTATCAAAATTTGATATCATGCTGGGGAACCCGCTGCGCGACCAGACAAAATCGCAATTTTTCCTCAGTTTTTGACGATCGAACCTCATTTCGCGCGGTAAGGGTCGCGTAGCACAACTCAAAATCACAATTTGTTTCAATTTTTGACGATCGAATCTCATTTTGTGCGTAATTGTCACATTTTCGTGATCGCTCGTGGCCATTGCCCCGCCTTAAGAGAGAATAGAAATTAGCAGAAGAGAGAAAAGCGAGAGAGAGAGAAAGAGTGCAAGATCTGAAGATGTAAGATTTTGAGATGTAAGATCTGTAGATGTAAGATCTGAAGATGTAAGATCTGAAGATGCAAGATCAGCAAACATAAGATAAGAAGATGTAAATAAGATAAGAAGATGAAAGATGCAATTATATGCACATATATAATCTGCAGATAGAAAATGAAAAGATATAAAATAATAAAATAAAATAAATATAATAAATTTGAATCTAAAAATATATAATTTTATTTTAATTAATAAATATTATATATTTAAATAAAAATAAATATTTTAAATTATATATAATTAACATAAAAAATAATAAATAAAATAATTATATTATATATAAATTAATTATAATGTATATTTGGTTTTTGTACTCTTCTCTTTCTCTTTTTCCCATCTCCTTCTTCATCATTTATCTGCTCTATCTTATAATCCTCTCTCTACATTTTGGATATATATTGATATTATTTTTTAATTATATTTATGGAAATTTTCTAAATTTTGTTTTGTATTATGCCTAAAAATATGTTGAAAAAAACCTAAAATAGATTATATTGTTTTATGATATTAAAAAAATAGTTTTTAATTTAGGTTAAAATATATTTGGAATTATGAGGAATTATAAATATTAAA